GCATTGAGCCAAATGGTCCTCATGCTATTTCTGTAAGGTAGAAATGGAAATGGGTACTTAAACCCAGAACCATATGCTGGTGGGTCTAGCACCCGGTGAGGGGCTGGCCTCGGGCCTGACACGTTCCTGGGCACTGCACAGTTTGGGTGCCGGCCGCTGCTGGCCTGGGATACTGGTGAACAAATCGGTGGTTGCACATCCACCAGAGTCACGGCAGAAGGGAGGTGGAGGAAGGGAACCTGACGCGTGCCCATCCTCAGGGGCTCTGGGTGCCGGCAGGTGAGGCAGAGGCAGGGCACAGACACCCGCGAGGGGCACGTGCTGGGCTCTGCGGAGAGCTGGCCCTGACCCCGTCCCTGCTCTCAGCTGACAGTGGAGGCAGAGGGCCCCACAGGCTCCTGAGCTGAGCTGGAGCGACTGCTGGTGTGTGAGGCCAGCTTCAGGGAGGGGTGCTATGGCACCCCTGCTCACGCATCTCCCACACCAGGGAGCTCAGCACCAGAAGTGGCCAGGCCCTTGCTGGTGGTTCTGCCCTCCCCCTCTCCCTGTGGCTCAGGGCCCATTCCCCTCCGCCCTCGCCCCAGGCCACCAGGGGTGCCATCATCGAGTCCAGTGCCCGCCCCTGCCCCCGGCTTCTCCTCTCCATTCATTCTTCCCCCTCCTTCATCCAGCCCACTCCCCACCATCAACCCAAATTTCTTCTGGTGTGATTCATCAAGGGGTGGAGGCTAGCAGGGAGCAGAGGAGATGGCCAGGCACAGGAGGAGCATCAGGGCAGTGATGTGGGCTGGAGGAGAAAGGCAGCTGGGCGGATGGAGGCAAGGGAGGGCACGCCTCCGACCCGGGGGATGTGCCAGCCTTGGGGCCCGCGCGGGACAGCAGAGTCTACACTGCTGGTTACGAGACCACGTGCTGCTGTCTGTCAAACTCCTCCTCCGTGTTAGGCCCTGGACTAAGTGTCTTAGAGGTCATGTCCTTGTGCCCCCAGAATGACCCCACGAGAGCTCTGCGGCTCATCTTCAACATGTATTAGTTCCCTATTGCGGCCCTAACAAATAGCACAGACCTAAAACACAAACTGCTATCTTCAGTTCTGGAGGTCGAGCACTGGGTCTCACTGGGCTAAAATCACCGTGTTGGCAGGGCTGGTTCCTTCTGGAGCTTCTGTGGGAGGATCCATTTCCCGGCCCTTCCCAGCTTCCGGGGGCACCTGCGTTCCTTGCCGTGGGGCCCTCCGCCATCCTCACCGCCAGGGACATCAGGCTGAGTCCTCTCGCTGCCTGCCGGTCCTCTGGTTCCTGCTTCTGCCCCTCCACCAGGTTTAAGGAGTCTTGTGACTATACTGGCCCAGATAATCTCCGCATTTCAAGTTAAACTGATTGGCAACTTAACTCATCTGAACTTTACCTCCCCTCTGCTGTGGAAGGTATAGTTATGCTCACAGATTCTGGGGACTAGGGTGTGGATATTTGGAGGGGCATTATTCTGGGTGTGGAACTGCCCTCTAGCAAGTTCCACATCTATCTCACATGGAAAACACACTCACCCCAACCCGGGTCCCCCAAACTCTCAGCAGCATCAAGTCAAGCCCCAAATGTCATCTAAGTCACCTAAATCAGGTATGGGTGAGACTCTGAGTATGATCCATCCTCGTGCAAAATCCTTTCCTTCAACTAGAAGTGCTACCTGCTTCCAGAATGCAAAGGTTACAGACATTCCCATCCCAAAAGGGAGACAAGGGAAGGGGGTGCGCATCACAGGTCCCAAGCAATTTCAAAATCCAGCCAGGCAAACTCCACGAGGTGCCGTTGAGGCCTGGGAAGAACCGTGGGGCTCCAGGCTCTGCCCTCCGGGCCATGCTTTCTTCTAAAGAAACTCGGCGTCAGTTTGCAGCTGACGGTTCACCAGTGTTCCTGCCCAGGGGGCCTGGGCGTCCAACAGCCTTGAACTTCATCCTCCCTCCGTGCCCTGCGGTCCCAGCTGCCAGGGTTTTTGACGGTGTGGCTCTCCTGTGTGTGTCACGGGGATTTGCTCCGTAAGACCAGATGCGCCTCCAGATCCTTACAAGGAAATTGTCTTTTCTGTTGTGGCTTTTGCGGAGATGCGTGAGGTGTCTACTAGTCACACACACGGTCTCTTCAAAGTTCCCTCCACGTGACTGACACTGAGCTCTCTGAGGTATCAGCAAAAGGCTGTCCAGCTACGGCCTCGACTCGTTCTCTAGAGCACAATTTTTTCTGGCCATGACCTCCTGATTTTAGTGTCTTCTGTCACTTGGCTTGGCTACGAAGCTCCCAAGTTGTCAAGGGTCAGGCCCCTTTTGTTCAAGAGCTCTGCCTTCTGATGGGCTTCCCTCTCCCACGCCACACGAGCAGCAAGAAACCAGGCTGCCCCTTCCACACTGTGCTTGGCAACCTCCTTGGCTAAATACCCAGGCGAACGGCTCCCGAGTCCTGCCCTCCAAGAACGGTGGGGCAGAACTCAGCTGGGCCTTCTGCAATGTGACACTACGCGTCAAGGGTTCCCTTTCGCCCCGCACCCACGGACACGGTCGTCCCTTCCCCGCGCCCGTCCCAGCAGTGCCTGTCACATGCCTGTTTCTGCGGACAGGTGCTCATGACGGTCTTAGGCGTTCCTCACGGTGACTCTGCCAGGTCCCCCTCTGTGCGGCCCCTCGTTTACGTGTGAGTCTTTGGTAGCGGCGTCATGAACACCCATACTTCCTCCTACCGATCATCTGCTTCAGAAAACCTGGACTTTTTCTACCGTGCCCCTCAAAATTCTTCCAGCCTCAGCCCAAGGCCACGTCTACGTTTGTGTTTGCTACGGTGGCGCCCCACCCCCGGGACCACAGTCTGCGTTCAGTTCCTGTCACCGCTATGGCAGGTCACCACAAAGGTAGTGGCTTATCTCAGTTCTGGAAGTCAGGAGTCTGAACTGGATCTCACTGGGCTCCAATCCAGGGGTCGGCAGGGCTGGTTCTTCTTGAGGCTCAAGTGGGGGGAAAAAAACATTTCCTTCTTCTTCCAGCTTCTCAAGGTATGGCACCCCCTGACTCATGGCCCCTTCTCCCACCTGTGGTGGCCAGGTCTTTCTCATGCCACACTCCTCGGCTGACAAGGACCCTTGTGCTGTGTCTCGGCTGCCAGGACAGAGCTAACAACTAGGCAGGGTGGGGGGAGATGGGCTGTCCGGGCAGAGCTGAGACGCCACCGAGAGTGCTCACCGGCAGCCGAGTCTCGGCACTGAGCCCAGCTGCCGGCGGGACCCAGGAGCGCCACGTGCAGCCACCTCACTGTGTGGGCCCAGAAATTGCTGCAGAGGCCAGAAGGCCTCCCCACAGCCCAAGTGGGCCAGGATGCTCTGGCTCTTGCAGCAAAGAGCCCGCTAGCTGGTGGAGAGCACTGGACATCGCCCTCACCCTCGGAGGAGTGCAGGCTGCTCCTCACCCTGGTTGCCTGCCCGTTCCTGGGAGACCGTCTGAGGCCTGGTGACCAGTGCTGTACCCACGACCCCCAGGTGCCCAGGGATTCCACAAGTCCTTCCTGAGTCAGAGAAGCATGAGCATGTGTGTCCCAGACACCTTTCTGCGGATACAGAGGTCATGCACACACGCGCACGCGCACACACACTGTATCTCAGACCCCATCAAGCAGCTTGAGCTACAAGTCCCCGTGCCCTCCCCGCACCAGCAGTGCCCACCCTGGCCAGCCACAGAGCCCCTGGCTGCTCTCGGGCCCAGTCTTGCCACCTCAGGCCTACACGCAGCAGCAGACCGCAGTCCTAGGACACACTGGACACGGGTGTTGCCTGGCCTGCTCCCCACCGCCAGCCTGGGACACTGCCCAGAAAGGCCAGTGGAGCCAGGCCCTGGCCTTCTGCCTTCCCCCAGGAGGTGGTCCTCGGCGCCTCAGGCCAAGGAAGACCCCTACCTTTGGCTCCCACACCCAGCCCTGTGGTCAAGTTCCTGAGGCCTCTACTTAGGGCGCATGCCTAGAGAAGCGAATGACCTGCGGGGGAGGCGGCGGGGGGGGCTGGGGCCCACACAGCCCAGCAGGCTGAGGTCACAGTGAGGCCCAGACAGCAGAGGGGAAGAGAGCATGAAAGGGACAGGGGTGACCTGAAGGTGGCGCCGGGGCCAGGCCTTGCTCAGGAGGGGCTATGACCTCCCTGCTGGTCACAGAGCCAGCTGCAGGGTTTTGGGAAGCAGCGGGGTAGTGTGGCTACGCTCGGGTCAGAGGAGCCCAGCCCTCTGGGAGTGAACATCTGCTGGCTTCTGTGGGAGACGTCAGGGCTAACGAGATGGTGAGGTCTCCTGCCTGGTGACAGGTGCAGCCTGGATGCTGCGGATGTGTCCAGGGATGAGGGGACAGAGGGGAGGAGGCTTCCCCACTACCTGGAGCTCCTGACCAGAAAGGGACAGAAACATGAGCTCCAGTGATATGGCACCAGGCCCCGAGGGGTACAGCAGGGCCCAGGAGCCTTCTTGCAGGGCAGGCAAGATTGCCCAGGGGTTCAGAACATGAGTGAGTTCAGCACATTAAAGTCATGTTGAAACAATTCTGATGTCAGGCCACCCTCGGTATCACACCAGCCCTGGCGCGGGACCCTCAGCACGGGTCACCGAGACGCCGAGGATACACACAGGCACTGACCTGAGCGAATTCTTTTTATTACGACCGAACAGGTGAGCGGAGTGGGGACACCCAGCCTTCCGCCAACAGCCGCGTCTCCATACACGCTGCCCGCCCAGGCACCTCGGTCCGAGGCCCAGCTAGTCCAGGGGCCCTCGTGGGCAGCGGGGCAGGAGAGGGGGTAACGAAGCCACAGGGTCAGGGTCCCTATGGGGTACCCCTGGCCACGCCCACCCCACCCGCTCTGAGCCCCTGGCAGCCAAGATCCAAGCAAGGCCAGGAGAGGGAGGCCTGAGGGGGGGTGGGGAGGAATCTCTAAAACAGCCCCACCCTGGAAACAAACCAAAGTGAGGCCAAGTCCCTCCTGGGAAGGAGCCCCAGCTCCCACGGGTGTATTTCTCTCAAACAGCAGAGCCCCCAGGGGAGGAGTGGGGGCCACATGGAAGACCAAGGAAAGGAAAGCCCCACAGGAGAAGGAAACTCAGACCGGCAGTCCCATAAACGTTTGTTGAGCGAATGAATGAAATCCAAAGGTCCTTCTTGACAAGCGGCACTCATCCGTCCAACAGGAAAACCCCGGCAGGGGGCCAGTCCGATGCACGGCCTGCCAGCGTCTGGGGAGCCCACACTCAGCGCGCCCGGGCCAGGTGGGGGGCAGCGTCAACCTCTCAGGCCTCCCGCTGCGCGTGCCTGGTGCGTGTGCGCACACACACAGGCACACGCACCACCGTCTCTCTGCACAGGTGCGCGCCTGTCCGGCCGGGGGCTCACCTCTCCTTCCCGTGGTTCTGTGCCCCCGCGCCCCCGCTGCTGGCCCCCTCCCCCCCGCCCCCGCTGCGGCCCCCGCCGCTGCACAGCACCTCCGTGAGGTCGTCCATGACGGCGGTGTCTTTGGGGTCGAGCAGGTTGAACTCCCTGGCGAAGAGAATGAAGTGGACGTAGAGGGTGTTCAAGTGTCCGTGCAGCTCAAGGGCCAGGGTCTCCTTGAAGTGGGACCAGTAGATGTGCGCCAACACGTGGAACAGGTACTTGCAGATCTTCTTCACCAGAGACTCGAAGGAGCTGGGGAATTCTCTGCCTGGGGAGAGAGTCCACAGCATCAGCCCACACTGCACTCCACCCATGACACGGTACCTCTCAGGGGCCTGGGCTCCCACTGTCAGGAAGGAGATCATCTATCTGCAGGACTAGCCTGGAGGGCTCCTGCCTGCCACACCCTCCCCACTGAGCAGCCCACTAGCAGGTATACCCGAGTGACCTGTCACCCTGGGCCTGGCCCCGAGAGGTGATCTGTGTCAAGGGGCCCGTGACCCTGCCATAGGCCACCCAAAGCCTGGACTCGGCCCCGGGGTCACATGTGCTTCCCTGATGGATGCTCTTGGGCCTCTACATGGCCTGGGCCACAGAGGAGGACAGGAACCAAGGTGCATGGGTACCTCCTGCTGGCTCCGTATGGGCCTGGAGCCCCCCACCAGGACCCGCCCAGGTTGGGACACAGGGCGGCCGTTACTGCTTGCTGGCCGTCAGGTCCCCAGTGAGGTGGCCTGCAGCGGCCCCACTGTACCGGGAGTGGAGCGGGCGGCAGAGGGCACAGGCCCCAGAGCCTGGGGTGGGTGTGATCTTGATCCAGGCTGGGCTGACCCCTGCCAGAGCGCACCTGCCTGGCCTTACAGCCCAGGTCACACGGCTGCCCCCCCATCCCGGAGGTCTGGCCCCTTCGCATTGGCAGCCACAGCCGCCCAGCAAGGAGGGGCGCAGCGGGGCAGAGACATACCGTATTTCGTGGGGAACACATCCTCGTCGGTCACCAGCTTCTGCACGGAGCTCATGACAAAATCGACATACTGGGGAGCAGTGCACTTGACCTTCTTCCCCCGCTCATCATACCAGTAGTACTGTCTGTGGGGACAGAGAGGGCCCGTCACGGTGCCCCAGAGATACCCAGCGACTCTTACCCGACCCCACTCCGCCCCGGCCCCAGGGGTGGAAGTGTGGCAGGTGTCCAGGCTTCCCCTCCCAAAGCCCCCAGGGGAGACACACTGCTTCCCACCACCTGGAGACCCTCAGCTGCATCCCATAAGGGGTCTGCCTGCACCGATTCTGAACGTCCAGGACAGAGCACGCTGTCTGAACGCACGTGTACATCGTCAACAGAAGGCGTGTTCATTTTCTCTACCGCGTGGCTGCAAGTTTCATTCCTTTAGAGGGACGCGTGTTTTGTATGATTTGAAGAGGCACGGAGGGCACGCTGTTCACTGCTGCCCCGCCTCTTCCAGGGACACTGCTGTGACTTGTCAGCCAGGCCTCGACCCTTGGGAACACCCCTGCTCCCCCTACTAGGAGTCACATGCCCTCCACTGGCCCAGTGGGGCTGGGTGACCAGTCTTCAGTGAGAACAGCTGGAGCACCTGTGGGCAGACACCCAGGATCTCTCACCGTGCGAGTCTCCCAGCTTGTGTGAGTGCGGACTGCCCCCTGCCCCAGCGCTTCTCTCCCCAGCAGAACACACACAAGTGCCCGATGGGCACTCATCTGGCAGCCACTCTGCTCTCCCCACCCCTGCTCCCGTCTCCCCAGAGGGCTGCTGTGCTCCTGCAGGCTGGCTCACCAAGGGCTGGACCCGGAGCCACAGGAGGGCAGAGGGTGGGGCGGGGGGCGGGGTGGCCTCTAGTCCGCTCAGGGGTGTGGTGCATGTGGGTGTGGGGCTGTACCCGTGAGTGACTGAGTGGCCTAGACCCCGACCCTCTCAGCCCCCTGCCCCAGCCAGATGACGGGCAGCCTTCGGGCACAAGGCTTCACACAGACGTTTCCCTCTGTCCAGCAACCCCCACACCCCCCTCTCCCCCCTCACACAGCTGGCTTTACTTGGCCTCAGAATCAGCTTAGACTAGGTTTCCCCAAACCTCAACATCCCACCTTGCTCGGGGACCCCAGACTGGCTCAGAGTACCCTGCCCTGATTTGTTGAGTGTACCAAGTACCCCTGGATGACAGCCATGAAGGCTAACCTACTCCTACCACCCTGTCAGGCCTGTCCTCGGGACAGTTTGGGGGTCCCCATTTCCCATGGCCAGCCTGACCCTGGCCAAGTGACCGCCAGACAGCTCCACGGCCACTGCCTCTGCTCCAGCAAGCCCACCTCCATCGAGTAGGAACCGGGGCTCTGCTCCGCCCCAGGCAGGGTGTGGGGTTGGCCAGCAAGACCGGGAATGCATGGCCTCCACACTAATGGACAGGCCCTTGGAGGAGGCCAGCCCTTCGTGGATAAGGGGACATGGCCCGACTGCCACTCAGCACCAGACCTGCCCACTTGGGGGTGGAAGGTCTGGGGTGTGACTGGGGTGTCGGGGCTTTGCAGAGGGCTACTTGGCTACTCCTGGGCACTGCCACGCACCCACAGGGAGGCCGGGCTTCACAAGAGCCTGGTGCCAGGTGCCCCACAAGGCCCAGGAACATGAGCAGGCAAGGGAGCTAGTTTAGACAAAGCCCTAAGAAGCTTGCCAAATTCCCTGCTTGCCCCCAGGAAGTAAAAATCCAGCACGGCGCTCCCGTCCATCAGAACACCCGCCCAGCACCCTCCCCGCCACAAGGTGGCTCTGCTGACCCTCCTCCCACCTGCCCCGATAGGGGCACGGGGCGGGGAGGGTCAGACCACCTGAGGACGAGAAGGCAAAGCCCCTTTCTGTGTCACTCTGCACGGCCTGAGGGGGTCCCTGTGGGGGGGGGCGGGGGGGGGCGGGGAAGTGGAGCAGCCCGGCCTCCACGTCTGCAGGGAGGTCCAGAGGTCAAGGCCCAAAGGCCAGGCGGGCGTCACAGACATCCGTCCCACCAATCCCCCCGGCACCGCATGTGGATGCTGATGCACCGGCCACAGGGGCCAGAGGGTCAGAAAACACAGCTGCAACTAGAAACTGGGACACGTGTCTCCCCAGCGTGCGGCCCAGAGAGACTAGCTCCTGGGGACAGTGAGGACCGCCCCTCTGTTTGAAAGACAAGACACTGTGCTCTCAACGTTCCGCTCGTTTTCATTTTTAAGTTACCGTGCAGTACAGAGGACGCGTTCTGGCAGGCAGGCCTACAGCTTCTCCTGTCCAGAGAGCCAGGCAGCTCCCACCCCCTCCCCCGGTCAGTCCCCAGCACACCAGGGATGGCCCCAGGGGACGCCACAGGACGTCCTGAGCCGGGTTCCGTGCTCCAGCCCCATCTCCGTGTGCGGCCCGCGGCACCCCACCAGCGTGGAAGGGCCAGCGCGCCCAGCCGTTCACCTGCTGGAAGACACCTGGCTCTTTTCCAGTTTGGGGCAATTATGGCTCCGACTGTTATAAATGCTCCTGGGCAGGTTTGTGTGTGAGCACAAGCTCTCGCTTGTCTAATATGAACGTTCACGATCTGCACTGCTGGGCCCGTAAGAGGCCACCAAACCACCGTCAGACTGGCTGGTGCATCGCTCCGCCGTCACATCCTTGCCAGCACGGGGCCCCGTGCTGTCCCCACCTGCTGCGCTAGGGGCTTGTCTGCTCTCCTGGGTCCTCTCTGCTGACCTGTGTGTCGAGGCCTGGACCCACTGGGGACCGGCTGCTGTTCGCACGCCTGAGTTGCGAGGGCTACTCACACGCTGGGTGCCGGTCCCTTCTCGGGTATATGACTAGCCCGTAGTTTGTCTATTCTTTCTCCTAACAGCGTCCTTCTCAGAGCAAAAGTTCTAACTGTTGATTATGCCCGACAGTATTACTGATTCTTTCTCATCAATGAGTGTGCCTTGTGTCACGGCCAAGAGCTCCTCCCCTAGAGCTAGGTCATGAAGATTTCCTCGTTTTCTTCCAAAAGTCTTAATAGTTTCACAATTTAGAATCCATTTGGAGTTAATTTTGGCATAAAGGTTTCGGTCAAGATTCACTTTTTTCTTCTTTTTTTGCACACAGATGACTGGTTTTTCCACCAGCATCAGTTGAAAGGACTATCCTTTCTGCACTTTCTTCTTCATCTTTGTCAACAATCAGAGGGCCGCCTTTGTGTGGGTCTATTTTTGGACCTTCCACCGCCCCCCTGATCTGTGGGTCTGTCCCCCACGCTGTCCTGAATAGCGGGACCAGGGACTGTGCCCGTCCACGCACAGTCAGCCAGCTTGTCTCATTCTGCAAAAACTCTGCTGGAATTCGGACCGAGAGGGCAGGAAGTGAGCAGACGGACCCGGCAGAACTCCCACTTGGCGCCCGTGCAGGCTTCTCCCAGCACCTCGCCCTTCGCAGTGTGCAGACGCGTGTGTGCTTCCCCGGGTTTATCCCTGAGCATTTCGTCGTCTGTGGGGCTGTTGTGAATGGTGCGGTTCTCTTAGTTTGGGGCTCCAACTGTACACGGCTCGGGGTTTTCTACACAACCATGCCGTATACAGTAATTTTAGGGGCACTTCTAGCTCTTCTGCACCATGGATGCCTTTCATTCCTGGTTTCTTGCTGTACAGCACTGTCCATTTGAATGAATTTTGGTATTTTGTTCCTACTAAGGAACTGGTCCGTTCAAACTGTCCAATTTATGTATGTAGGGATTTTTGGTATGTTTCCTTAATATCCTCTTAGTATCTGCTGAGTTTACAGTGACACCCCTTTCATTCCTTATACTGATACTCTGCACCTTTTCTCTTTGTCATCTTGTAAAAGGCCTATCAATTTTATTGATCTTTTCGAGAAATCAGCTTCTGGTTTCATTGATTTTCCTGTTTTCAGAAATAAATTGCAGTGATTTCTACTCCATTATTTCTTTTCCTCTGCTCAATTGGGTTTATTTTGTTTTTCTTTTTCTAGTTTCTTAATATGGAAGCTTAGCTCCCGATTTGAGACCCTTCTCCTACAATAAACACATAACCCTATAAATTCCCCTCAAAGCTTTGCTGTGCCCACAGATTCAGGTATATGCTGCATTTTCATTTGTGCTCAGCTTAAAACATTTCAAATTCCCTCTGACACTTCCCCTCTAACCCGGGGATTATTTAGAAACGTGCTCATTCCCAAGTGTTTGGAGATTTTCCTGTTATCTTTCTGTTACTGATTCTAGCTTAATCCCATGACAGGCAGATGAGGAACGTAGTATGATTCTGATTCTTTCGAGTTTGCGAAGGGCTGTTTTGTGAGGTGGGATGCCATCTCCTTTGGTGACTATTCATTCCATGCGCACTTGAGCAGAATGTGTCCTTTGCTGCCAACGGTGAAATGCATCCAGCCCAGTCGGCCGACAGTGCTATTCCGTCCTGTACCCTTGCTGACTTGCTGTCCACCAGCTGTCTGCCTCCAAAAGAGGAGAGCTGAAGTCTCCCACTCTGAGGTGATTTCTCTCTGTTCCTCTAAGTTCTGTCCATTTACTTTGTGTAAAAGTGGCTACTTGGTGCACATTCAAGATCAATACTTCTTGATTAACTGATTCTTGTAAATATGCAATCTTCTTTATCCCCCGTGGTTTACTTTGCTCTGAGGTCTTCGGTGTCTGGGATTCAAAGAGCCATTGCAGCTTCCTGCTGTTCTGTGCATACAGCTGCTCTATCCTTTTAGTTCTAACCTACAGACGTCAATGCACGTGAAGCATTTCGTGAATGCCTACAGTTGGCTCAGTCCAGAAATCCACTCCTGCACAGTGGAGCCCCTTCACCTGTGGCTCCCCTTTCCCTGGTCTCAGTCCCTTGTGGCAGCCGCTGTCCAGAAGCAGACACTGCTCCCCCTTCAGACGCAGCGTCAGAGGCTGAGGACGATAGGATGGCGTACCACGCCACCTGCCTCAGTCCCCCCTCGCTGCCCCATGTGGGCATCTCATGGTCGCACGCCATCCCAAGAAGACAGTGGGTGCGGTGCAGTAGGAGACCTTGAGGGCAGACCCCGGTCACGTAGCTGCTGTGACGGCACCCTGTCGTAACTGTCCCGTTTTATCGCTGCTTATCTCTGTACCTAATGTGTCAATGCAATTTTACCACAGGTAAAAACGCAGTCCAGAGCTTCAGGCGCCTGCGGGGCTGGAAGCACGGCCTCCACGGCTGGTGGCCGACTCTGGGAGCTCTATTTGGCCCTCTGACATTTTTGGGATTTCTGGTGTGTTTGAATTTTTTACCATCTTTTGTTTGCCGCTTGTCCCCTTTGCTTCTCGTCCCTAGTATCTCCTCTTTCCTGCCTTCCTTTGGGTTGTGTTTTAGTCCTTCCTTTCAGTTTACCCATTACGACTTCGACTACATCATTTACACAACTTTTCAGAGGTTGCTCACAGGAGTATAAAATACATACTCCGCCTGCTTTCCACGCTGCCCGTTGCACCAACTTCCCACCACTCCAGCGGGAGCACCGAGAGCCCAGCCCCCCGCCGGCTCCGCTGCTGCGACCCAGCACATGGGCGTGGCTCAAAGCGCCCCACTGGGCCAGTCCCCAGGTCCATCCCTGTCGCTCGTCCTGCACAGACGGTCCGGCCCCCTCGCTCTGGAACGCCCTGCGGCAGCCCATCCCTGTCGCTCATCCTGCAGACGGTCCGGCCCCCTCGCTCTGGGACGCCCTGCGGCAGCAGGTCTGCTGGCTGTGGATGTTCTTGGCCTTCCTCCATCTGAGAAAGGTCCGTATTTCACCTAAACCCTTGAAGGACATGTGTGCTGGAAGGAGGACTGTGGGGTGGACTGCTCCTTCCTTTCGGCACTTTAAAAACGTGGCAGAGCTTCCTTGTGGCCCAAGGCTTCTGATGAGCGCTGCAGTCACTTGCCCGTGTCCTCGAGGGTTGGCTCTGCTCCGGGAAGGCCTTCTCTGCCCAGTTTTGTGATGACATCTCTGTGCATGGACTCCTCAGTTTGTCCTACTTGGAGTTCATTCAGCTCCTTGAATTTGTAGGTTTGTGTCTGCCAAGCTTGGAAAGCTTCAGCCATTATTTCTTCAAATACAGTCTCCGCGTGGCCCTTTCACGTCACCTCTGGGACTCCAACGCGACCCTCTGGTTTCCATGTCTAGGCCCCACTCCAGGCCCCAGGCAGACATGTTGGTCCTGGGGCAGCACTCAGCTCTGGGACCTCTGGTAAACCCGTTTTCTTCTCTTCAATTAATTTGACATCAAACAACTGCTAGGAAGGCAGTACACTATGCCAGGCTCCATAAGCCTAAAGACCCTGTGAAAGCAGCTGCAGTCGAGAAGAACGAGAAGTGGGCACCCCAGTCTCACACCAAGCTCTACGTGCTTTCCAGGAGTCTCTTCTCAAACACAGGGATACCGAAGGACACATGGGAGCAGAGGAGACGAGCTTCCCCACCCGCCTGCCTTACGGGCCACCTCTGATACCTCTGGGTCGGGCAGAGCCAGCAAGTGTCCTCCTGAGCGTGCCACACACACGGCAGCTCTAAAACACCGTCCTCACCCGCCTCCAGCATCTGCCGCTGGGCAGTCTACTCTACCGAGGGCACTTCCCTCCCATATCACTGTCCTCCAAGCTCACCAGCCCCAACCTCCCCTGGGGCATCCCTGCCTGTGGCCAATGGGGACACATGTAATGCCTGGGCTCCCATCAGTGGCCTTTTCTGGGTGACAGTGTGGAGAGCCAACTACTGTCTACATTTGCTTGCACGGGACCTAGCCCTGAGCTCTGACCTGCTGGGGCCACAACAGTGGAGCCTGGCGGGGCTGAGAGCCAGGCCTGTGCCAAGGCTCAGTGGGCTCTCAGTGACAGGAGAGCTCCATTTGCCTGCGTTTGAGCTGGGTCTGTGCCCAGGAGCCAGGCCAGCAGCATCTGTGGGCAGGATGAACTCAGGACAGCACACAAAATGTGTGTTCGCCAGCAGGGGCTAGCAGCTCATGCGTACTTGCATTGGCCCCTGACCTGCAGCCCCGACAATAAAAAGGTGTGAGAAAGGAGCTTCCATGCCTCCTCCTTAGTCACAACAGCCCCAGGCTGAGCCCCAGCACACCTGGCCTCCTGTTTGAAGCCACCTTCCATCCCTTCTGCTATTAGAGGCCAAAGGCAAGCCTGTGCCGTGCAGTGGCTCTCCTCCCTACACCCCAGTCAGGAGCTACTGCAAATCCAGTGAGGTGTCTCGAAGCCCCCTTGGGGTACCTGCCTACTGAAGACACGAATGTGCACAAGCCTCCAGAAGAGAATGAACAGCACCCAAGGCCCACTGAAAACTCAGTAAGAAGGCATCCCGGTCCCACAAAACCAGCCAACGAGGAAGGCAGTGAGTGCCCTCCTCCACCCCGTCCCTTGCTGTCCCCTTCTTCACTCCCTCCCCCAGGGCGGGAGCTCTCGGGAAAAGCCATCCTTCAACTAAGTGAAGCACAGAAGCATCTGCATCTTCATGATGCTCTGCTGTCTTAGGAAACCAACCTAGGCGTGTTCACCCCTAGCCCCAAGGAGCTCGGCCACCAGCCTCTGGCCGGCTCCTGGCACCCCGTGCCCCAGCAGGACCCATACCACCGAGTGCCTCCCCTTGCTGGGCTCTGCCTCCTGTGTCCCTGCCCCACGGGGACAGGAGGTGCAGCCCCAGCCAGGACACAGCTGAGGAGACCCCGCAGGGGTGCCATGAGATGGTGCAGGGGCTGGGCTGCAGCCCGGCAGAGACTCACGTGTTGCACACGGCCATCGTCTGGCAGGCCTCTCCCGTGCAGAACTCTGAGATGGTGCTGTACTGTAGGTTGACGTGGTGGAAAAACGTGGTGGCTGTGAGAGAAGAGAAGGACCAGGCGTGAAAACCACCACTGCAGCACTGCTGTGTGTCCCAGTGCCCTGCAGGCCCAGGAGGCCCAGCACTTCTTCCTGTGGGCCCTGGGGCAGGCAGCACGCACCACAGACCAGAGACACACGTCCCAGTGCAGAGCACTGGCCCTGGAAGACGGCCACCAGCCGCTGTCTTGCGGGCTGGCATGTGTTTGCACAGCGCCAAGCTGGGCAGAGAGCCAGCGGCCATCCAGACGGAGTCCCCTCCACAAGGGGTGGGGCAGGCAGACATGCTGTGAGCCCTGAGCCCCAGGCCTGCCCAGTGCGTGGAGGTGAGAGCCACCCTCCCCTCCCATGGGTCATGGCCTTCCCATGACCTTGGCACTGCCGGCCTTGCAGTTGCACAGCCACTCCACAGGCAGTCCCTGGCACTGGCGGCCTGGTACCCTCCCCGGTGGAGACCCTAAGTGCACTGCAGGGCCGACCTGCAGCTCCGGGGAGTCCCCGAGGAGGTGACCACCTGTAGCCACTGTGGTGCCCTTCCCCACCCCGTGCCACACGCACTGTTGCTGGCCAGCCACTCGTTGAGGTCGATCTCCCGGGGCAGCACCACCAGCTCCTTGAAGCCGACGTCGGTGATTCTGGACTTGGTGTACTCTGGCTCCAGGTACATCTTTTTCTCCTCGGCAGCAGGCTTCTTTCCATTGGGCTTTGCTTTAGACTTTCTGCCGGAGAGAAGGGAGCAGAGGGTCACTGCACGACAAACACAGGCATGGAGGCCACGAGCTAGGTCCTAGGACATGAGCGGGGCTGTCCCTGCCAGTGGGACAACCAGGGGGCTCTTCCTGAGACACCCCAGGAGATTCTGCTCCCAGTTGGTGCCAGGAACGGAAGGAAGCTGCCTTTGTCCTCCCCTGCCACTGTCAGGGGCCCATGGCCTGACCAGCTGAGCTCCCTGCCACCACAAGGGGCAAGTGGGATGCAGAGACACATGCCAGAGGCCCAATGCCGCAGGGCCAAACCTGGAATGTACGACAGGCAGGCAGCTCTGGGCCCACTGAAGGGCTGGGGTGGTGACCACACTAGTCAGGTTCCATCCCCATGGATGACACTGCAGCCGCCCTGGCCCGCAGGGTTGCCGGGTGGGACACAGGGGTGAGTTTCCCTGGCCCAGGGCCCCCACCCTCTGTGCAGCCGATCTGGCCGCCTGGCCTTCCAGAGCCCTTGCCGTGTGCCGACACAGCCGGGGCTCCCCTGCACAACCCTGTCCTGTTCACCGGGGTTCCGTGCCAAGCACAAAGTGCAAGATCTGGGCAGGGACAGACAGGTGGGCATGAACCAGGCCAGGCATTACAGAGATCTGCTCAAATGACCACTCTGCACCCAAAGGTTTTTTTTTTTTGCTTACAAAAATAGTTACTTTCCATGAAAATATACTGTCATACAAACAGAATGGGCTTGTTATAGCTATTTTTATAGGACTAAATACATATATTTGAAATGTCTGTTTTCATTCAAATCCAGTATCAGTATCTAATTAGCCCATAAACCAAAGTTCTCGGTGCTGAAGAGGCCCCCTCCTTGGTGGGGGAGCCATGGGCCCCAAACCAGCCTCCTGCCAGCCGCCCAAAGGCCGGAGCCAGGGCCATGGTGTGTGCAACCTAGGTCCACAAACAAGATGGAACGTCCCCTAAGAGGGAAAAGTGACCAACACGGTGGCCCAGAGCCCCCAGCTGGGAACACAGCCCAGGCTGGATCTGTCATAAGTCACTGAGTGTCACCCTGGAGCCCACACTGGGCACACGGGCCTCGGAACAGAGGACCCAGTGGAGGGCCATGTGCAGACATGGCCCTTCCCAGCAGCAACCGCCCAACACGGAGGTGTAGGAGGGTATAGGCTCCCCGCCATCTGGGGAGCAGCTCAGAGCAATGCTACAGTCCTCCTGCACATGCAGGGACTCCCCAACCTTTTAAGGTTTAGAATTGGGTTCCTGGCGGAAAGTTTGAGAAACTGAAGGAAAATGCCTAATAACATGAATGAGTCTCTTGGTTCTTAGTTGGACGACTAAATTCTTTAATGGTACACACTGTGACTTGTAGAAACAAACTGCAAGTCAATACTGTCAGGACGTCTTACTGACCAGAAAAGGCCACCTTTGGCTGTAAACTCTCAAGGAGGGGTCACCCCCGCCCCAAGAGCAGAAACTCAGGGGAAGTGTGTACAGCTGCCCTGGGGACAGGGTAAGACAGCCAGCGGTCTTGGAGTTCCAGGAGACACATCCTTCAGAGCCCCCAGTCCTGCTCTGCAGGGCGGAGGGCAGGAGTGAGCATGCCCCCACCACGGCAAACCCACAGGCACCACTGTTGGGATGGCCACGGGCCCCCTGCACACCTGGGAGGGCTGTGGTCGGGGTGCTGGCTGGGCCGGAGGGCTGGGGGCAGGCAGGCTGAGGACCTGGACTCGGGGGCCGCCATACTTGGCCCGGCCCCACCTGTCTACATCTTCAAGGTCCGCAGCGTCTACGGAAGGAGAAGCAGACCAGCTCACAGCTGGCCTCTGTCTGGCCCAGCTACCCAAATGGGAACGCTCCGCGGGTCTTGGCTGGGGCACGGCCTAACGGTGGCTGAGCTGGACACGGCCATCCTAAGCACTCAGGGCACCCAGCTCCCTGTGCGCCCCTCCCCCGCCAGCCCTGCTCCAGTAAGGGCGAAAGGTCTCCACAGCTCCCTGACCCTGTCCTTTTCTTCTTCTGTTTTGAAAAGTTGCTAGTGGTTTATTTAAGAGAAACAGGAAGGAAAAATGCTCCCTGAATGCCAGGGAAATGTTTTCCCTCAGCTTCTCAGCAAATCTTCTCCTTAAAAGGCGACGTGTTCTCAGCCTCCTGGTGCACCACCGGGAGTGGCCAATGCCACGCAGGGCCACAGTGTCCTGGGGACAGGGTGGGACAGACCCCCCTGACCTGGAGCAAGGGCGTGGATGTCTCTGTCTCTCTTGATCTCTGTTAGATACACAACTGCAGTGAGCACTTCAGGGGTCCCCTTGGCTGGGGGTGGGGGGGAGGCTGTTCACTGGGGACAGGTGTGGACACACGCTTCTCAGGGCCCTGTGGTCCCCTGGCCCAAGACAGTGAGGCCCCCACCCTCCCCCAGAGCATGGGAGGGCTCAGGGAGCCCGGGGGCCTCTGCTCATGCCCTCAGACGCTCCACCAGGAAATGGGTGGGCCGGCCGTTTTGCTCCCTGCCCCTTGCCCTTCTCCTGACCCTGGTCTCTGCTACTGAGTCACACGCCAACCTGTCAGAAAGCCTGAAGTTGCCTAGAAGATGTCCTGTGCCTACAGCCCCAGGCGTGAGGGGCCAGCCCACGGGACGCACGTTCAGCCTGAGCCGGTTCTGCTCTGCTCACCCCCCACCAAGTGTCCATCTGCTGGGAAGGTTCTCCACTCTGCATCCAGACCCAGTCTGACCCCCGCCCCTGCCTCACCTTGACTCACACTTGGCTAGGACCACCCCCGAGCTGGCCACACATGCTGGGCCTCAGCTTCGGGGTCTAGAGGATCCTATGAACACACGTGTAGGGATGGGGCCCGTGGGGGCTGTCGTCCAGGAGCCATGTCACAAAGTGACGAGGACCACACATCAGAACCAGCCCAGAGGCAGCTGTTAGTGGAGCAGCGGCAGGAACCAGCCTGGTGCAAGACGTGCCCAGGGTGACACACAGGCCCACTTGGGGATGCCACCCTCGTGCTGGCAAGTCCATTTCCAGAGGAGACTGGGAGCCCCTTTGGGCCGACTCTCCAAGGGCCAGGCAGGCAGCCATGGGAAGACGTGGGCTGTGATGTGTATGTGGTCAGAAGGCCTCAGCCTCCTCACCCTTCTCCCCTGCTGCTGTCCGCACCTGTTCTCCTGCAACAAATAGGCCAAACAGGCAGGTGCACACCAGGTCCGCCAAGCTCGACTTCTCCAAGCTGGTTCCCCTGAGCTCCCCCCTGTCCCCATCATCCAGAGCGGGCCTGGGACTCCTGGACCACCGTGTAATTTGGGATGACCCCTGTGCCAGGTCAGCCAGAGCAGACGTCTATGGAGTCTGGTCATGGGCTCCTCTTTCCTTCAGTCCCACAGGCAGGCAGCAATGATGGGCACTGACCCAAAGGCAGCAGGACAAGGTACAAGCCAGGGCCCCTGTGTGGAAGTGGTCACACAAGCCCAGCCACACGGGTCCCTTCCACCCCAAGGTCTGTCCGGGCCACTGCCAAGCCACTTGGCTCCTCTGGGTGGCAGACATGGCCCTGGCCCAGCCCCGCTCCTCTGCCACTGGCAGCAACAAACCCGAGCTTTCAGAAAACGCCCTGTGGCTTCCAGGTGGAGCAGGCTATGTAACACCGTCCCTGTGGCCACATGCGTGGAGAACACAAGACCGTGCACCCCCACCCCACAGGCACTGAGCTCTGGAGCGGGTTCTGTCCGGCCAAGGCCCAGAGGGCTGCCCGGGGGCCACACGCCTGGGCTCCTTCTCTCTGGCTCTCCCCCGACACTGCTTGCTGGGACCCCCACAGCGGCAGTAAAAGGTGGAGTCCCTGGCATGGAGCTGCACTGAAGGGACCAGAGGGTGGACACAAGGCTGTGGCCTGCCACAGGGCCTGCTGGCACCTTGCGGGGGGCGGGGGGTATGGCCACAGGCACATGCAGAGAACCTCCAACAGAACCCTACGTGCTCTCCTGGTCTAATGGGTGGGCTCCAAGGCTGGACCACCCATTTGGGAGGGGCCCAGGCTCCACCAAGAGCATCCTCCTACTGTCTCCTCACCCTCTCCTGCTCCCGACGCCTCTACCACCTCCCCTGCTCCTGACGCCTTTACCACCTCCGCAGGAGTCCCCAGACCCCACACATGCTTGGCCTGACGCACTTTCTGTCCAATGCCACACCACCAGTCCCACCAAGAAGGCCCCTCAAGTTGCTCAGTGTGAGCCGGCACCAACATGCAACCCATCCACGCCAAGTGAGGGGACACAAGGGTGCGGGAGTGATGCCTGCCTGACAGCCACAGGAGAGGAGTCTCCCCTAGGGACGCAGATACCCTGTGAGGGATGCACCTGCCCAGGAACGCCTGGAAACACTTGAGTGCCCCGTGCTGACGCTCCCCACCAAGAGCTGGCCCCCACAAGCAGATGTGGGGCTGTCAAGGAGCAATCAGCAACTGTCAGGTTTAGAACATGGATGCCTCCTCAAGGCCTCAGCCATGCTGAGGCAAGGGGCTGGTGGTCCCCAGGCACAGAGCAGGGCCAGCTGTGCCCAGCGGGGGGCGCACTGAACCAGGAGAAGAAACTGCAGGATAGATGGAGGCCCCCCCCCCTCCTCAGAGTCCTGCACAGCCTTCTGTCCCCCAGTCTGGCCCCTGCGGTGCTCACTGGATGCTAGCATCCCAGGACAGCTGAGGTTCTGGCCAGGAATGAGGCAGGGCAGATACAGGAAGTCAAGGGAAGTGTGGAGACGCTGACCCTGGAGGAGGTGGGCAGTGACGGAGGCAGCCTCATGGGATGGAAACCAAAGATCCAGGGGGCGGGGAGCAGGGTTATGAGGAACCATGGATGCGTGAACAGTGGACCCATGGCACGCAGAGGCCCCACAGAAAGTGCTCCCACGGAAACAGAGCCTGTGCTGGTGGTGGTCTGGGAAAGGAGGGGTCCATGGAGAGGGCGTCTGAGGACTCAGAAAGCACGAGGGTGCCCACCCTCCTGGGTGCAGCCCACTGCTCCCCACACCAGGCTAACGCAGGAGGGAGCTCCCAGGCCCAGGCTTGACAAGCGCAACTATATGGGGTGGCATGCTGGGTGCAGCAAGAGTGGCCTGTGGGTCCCGTGTGCACAGGACCCACCTACTCCCCAGGGGGCAGCAGGTCCCAAAGTCCAGGCTCCTCCTGACCTCCTTCCTAGGACACTGATGAGGGCACAGGCTCCGCAGGGATTTCACCAACAGCCCTGTCACCTGGGCGGTCAGGGCACACTTGGGCCCACCACCAGGGCCAGACATCTCCCTCAACCCCGGGCCAAGTGAAAACACCAGGGCTTGGCACCACTCCCAACCCCCAAGTTTCTGATGCAGCAGGCCTGGAGCGGGGCCTGAAAACCACCTCTGACACGTGGAGGTGCCCCGCCTGCATCAAGTTCTTGCCACTCCTAGCGCCCCGGTGTCACTGTACTCCCTCCTGTTGCAGAGCCTGGGAAACCAAAAGCTAGGAACCCCCCCCCCATGGGACCCCCATCAAATCCCCACGGGCTACGGCCAGCCGGATGCTGTGGAGAGGGACGAGCAGGTCATTTCTCTTCTTGGTTGAACTGCCTGGAGGTCAGCACCCCAAACAATGCATGCTTTCCTAAGCCTTTGTGTCCCCTACAAAATGAGACCCACCAAGACGGAAAAAGCCAAGGCAGACTGAGAAAAGTAGGCAGACACCATGGACCCAACATCCACACGTGTCAGGCGCTGTTGCGTGCTGTCTGACCCACAACTGGAGCCACAATGTGGCCAACTATGCTCAGAGTTCGAATTTTACTTTCACTTCTCCATCGGTGAAGTAAGTGCTCTTCCTCTGATGCTGGGCTGAAAAGTCACCTCCGTCGGGAAGTCCTCTCAGATTCCCCCAGTAAGAAGGGCCTGGGCCTCTAGTCTCCCACAGCAGTGGGTGCTCGGCCGGGTCAGTCTTGCCTCTGTCTTCTGCAGAACCCGCTTCAGCTTTCGGCTCTCTCCCACCACGCACACACGCACAGGCGTGCCCGCACCCATAGTACACGCACCCACAGTTCCCTACACATTGCCAGTGACGGTCACTGTTCCTGATTTGAACCAAAGACCTGGAGGACAGTACCCACACCTTGCCGGCGGTTCTAAATCTCACACCCTAACATTACGAAAGGACAGCTTTGGCCAGCTAACAGGTAGGATCTCTGGTTTCTACTTAGAATTCACTGTGAGTCCTCCCGTGTGGCACACAGGTGACCGGCTGTGGGGAAGGACCCCATGGAAGAGACAGGCAGAAGCCAGAGGTGCCCACAGACAGTCAGAGGCACAGACACACATAGACTCTAGAACTGCCTCGGTCACTCCACGCCAACCACCAGCTGGGCCTGGCTTCCCCTCAGACCGTCACACCAAGAGGCCTGCTTACTTTGGTTACAATTAAAGACATAACTGGAAAAGCAAGAGACATTCACTTTCAATTTTAAAAATGACCCACTGAAGTCTCAGGCAAATGCGAGATGTTCATACTGAAGGAAGCCAGATCTGAGTCTACAGTGTGACCCATTCTGGGCGCAGGCTCTGGCTGTGCTCCTGACTCCTGCGAGCACAGGTGTCCGGCACCCCTCGGAGCCCCACTGCACTAGAACAGGCCTGCCCATCTTTGAGGGTCAGGTCAGCCTGCTGCTGCAGCCTGCCGCCCCCACACCCTCCCACCAGCAGGCTGCACTCGCTCTACCCAGAGCCTGAAGCAGGCTTCTATTCAGACATAGAACCGGCACTGGAGTGAGTTTCTCTAGACCCCTCTGCAGGTCAAAAAAGAAATTAAAAAAGTGGTCAGGAATGGCTTTTCTGGCAGCCCCCAGTCCCTAGAGCAGACAGCTGTGGCCCATGTCAGGTCTCTGGACAAGGCTACTCCCGGATAGGTTCCGGTCATCCCACCTGGGGACAATGGGACAGACACCCTGCCGCTCTGGCAGGCTTGGGAGAGGGCAAGGCAGGACTGCCGTGGTCACAAAAGTGGTTAACCACAAAGAGGGAGATGGTCCCCGGTGGGCCCCCTGTTCTCATCCAGATCCTCCAGGGCCGCACTCCCTCGAGCATGAGCTCCCTCCCACAAGCACTTTTAGGGAAAACCTGGCTCCAAACGAAGTTCCTGGCCAGATCCAGCCCCCCCACCCCCAGCGGCTGTACACCACCAGGACCTTAGCTGGGAGGCGCGGCAATTACAGCCACTCCTCCCCAGGCTGACCTGGGGCAGGAACTAGGCACAGTCAGACCACCCCCACCACCCCCTGCCCAGTTCACCTGAGCACTTTGCCGACTGCCTGGAGCACCATTTTGCAGCTGAGTCCAGTTTTGGGGGGCTGGCTGAGCAGAGCTCGGTCTGTGGGGAGACTGCTGTGATCTCCAAGCATGGTGGGGCAGTGCAGAGATGGGGCGGGGAAGTGGGAACCAGGGCACCAGGGAGCCGCTCCCTCCTCCCTCCCCTCCCTCTCTCCTTCCCTCCAGGAGACCAGCCAATGAGGACAGCAGGGGGAGAAAGAAGGGCTCCGGCCTGGCAGAGACAAACAGCTGCTCCTTTACAGGCGAAGGCTGGCCAAGTCTGGGTACTTGAGGGAGTGTCTCAATCGCCTTTTCAAAGTGGCGCCTTGTGGGCGCTGTGTGGGGTTAAGGCCACTGCCGAGGAGATGGACACCACCCTTGGGAAGGACCGATCAGCAAGGCCCCAGGGTGGTACCACAGAGCAGGAAGCAGCTCTGCCCCAGGAGCTCGGGGGGCGGGGGGGGGGGCCAACACACACCCCTTGCCTGACCCTAGCCTAGCTGAGACAAGAAACCAGCGGGGGGGTGGGGTGGAGGCTAGCTGGGCTGCAGACAGGCTGGCCACGCACCTGCAGAGCATGGACATGGGCTTGAGGCGCACCTACACTGGTACAGCCGTGGAGAGGTAAGGCTGGCTGGCTCCCAGGGCGTCCCGAGCAGGCACTGGGCTGGAACTTGGGCAAAGGCTGCTCTTGGAGGGCAGGCCCACAACGCCTTCCTGTGGGGGTACAAGAAGCTGAGTGCCCAAGGCCTTCTTCGCAGCTGTTGTAGACAAAGGAGGCCATGAAGTACTAAAAAATCAAACGTCTCCAAGAGGATGGTGCTCTGCTCAGCCCTGGTTTCAGTTCTGACCACAGGGACAGTGACAGCCCGTCCCCACGCTCCTTGCGAAGCCCCACCCAGCACAAAGCACAGCCAAAGGTCTGGCAGGCCCCTGTACCCATATGCCCAGGATCAGCTCTGCCTTCCACCCCCGAAAGAGCACATCCCACAAAGGGCCCTGCTGACCTTCTCATCTGTCCAAGTTCGACCCAACTCTGCAGGGACCACCCCAAAGCCACCGAAAGGACAGATCAATGTGCAACAGCGAAAGGCAGCCTCTGCCCGGCACAGCTGAGGACACCTGCCAACAGAGCTCTGGCCACCTGGGAGGCAGGACAAAACAGGACCCTTCTGTCCTGGCAGGACAGTGTCTCCGGGGCCACCCTGGGAGTCAGCATGGCTCCTGTGCTACTGCCCAGGGGAGAGGCGCTAATGGGATGACCACACAGCCCCTGGCAGGTGAGATGCGGAGTCCCCAGGAGGGGAGGACCAGCCTGCAGGGGCTGCAGCAGAGCACTAGAAGGTCGCTCTGGGCTCACCTCGTTCCACTGCCTGCCCTGGTGTCAGAACCAGCTGTTTCTCCAGGAAGCCCTGGTCCCTTCTATTGGAGATGAAAATCTGACACTTGGCTGCTGGGTGGTACTGTCCTCGGTCCTCTCCACTGACAGAGAAGGGAGACGTGCGTGCGCTCACCTATACACCTAAATCCCCATCTCTATGCACATCTGCATCTGCATAACCCTGTGCACGTGTTCATCCCAATGCCCCGACAGATCTGTCACCTGTGGATCACTCCAGCCTCCTCCCCTGGCTTGTCTATAACCTCCCCCCCTCCAATAGGGAGACACCTCTGAGGAGCCACCAGGGTCTGAATCACTTAGTCAAAACCACGGCAGGGGAGCTCCAATGCTGTGAAGGGAGCAGAGCAAACGGGCCCAGTACCTTTATTAATGGTGCAGGCAAGCGCAAGCTTCACGTAAAAGCAAATGGGAAGGGGCGCCTGGGTGGCTCAGTCGTTAAGCGTCTGCCTTCGGCTCAGGTCATGAATCCCAGGGTCCTGGGATCGAGTCCCGCATCAGGCTCCCCGCTCAGCGGGAAGCCTGCTTCTCCCTCTCCCACTCCCCCTGCTTGTGTTCCCTCTCTCGCTGTCTCTCTCTCTGTCAAATAAATGAATATCAAAAAAAAAAAAAAGCAAATGAGAAAAGCATCGTGGCTGAGTCCAAGGAAACAGAAGAGAACAAGACAGAATAAGCCCCCCACTGACAACCAAAACACCCCAGAAAGACACATGCACAAGACAGATGAAAACTATAGCCCAACAAATTAGGCAATCTCAGAAATTAAGTGACTTAAAGATTTGAAGAGAGAGGCAAAAGAACTCAAAAGAAGAACCAGAAATGAGAGCCCCTGAAATGCAGGCTAAATCAGAAGGAACACAAAGCCAACATGGCAGGAAACACAGGATGGAAAGGAGGAATTTTTTAGATAAAAAAGGAACGAAGAGACATTCACTTGCATGATGACAGGGTGACAGGTCCCGGGCTGACCTCCACCACCAGCAGCTACTAACTGGGTGAAATACACAAAGCAATGGGTTTCAGATGCTGGACAACAGGCTGGTGGTTCAGGACAGTGCCCAAGGGCAGGGAACCCAAGGGTGAGCAGCGATCCACTGCCTGCTGGAGGCTGGGGTGCGGGAAGGTGAAGCCTGTGCAGGTCCCACAGCCTCAGATGGAGGCAAGGACTGAAGCTGTAATGTGCAGTGAACCAGACGAGGTGGGCTGCCCAGAGAAGGGATGCCAGAAAGGACAGAGCCAACTACTCAGATGGGGGCATGCAGGGCCCCTCCGAAGGCCTGGCAAAGATCAGCTATGGGGAGAGCTGTAAGCTCAAGGGGTGTTGTGGAGGCTGTCAGGCAGAAGACAGGCACAGCCACTCCCAGACTAGAGAGAGAGAGGGCACTCCACTGAGGCTCCACAGGACCTCCACTGAAAGCCACGCCAGAACAGGGCTACAGCAGCCCCAGAGGAAGGTTTCTCTAGACCTGCCCTCATCAGGCTTCACCAAGCCTCAAAGGGTTCCTGCTGAACCAACAGCAAACGAACTGCATACTGGAATAACCACAGCACTCTTTAAGGAAGGACAACGAAAACCAGAGCTTTAATAACACTTGCCATCACAATGTCTAACGCGGGCACAGACATGCACACACGTATGTGAAGGAGCAAAAAATGTTACCCACAACCAGGAAAAATAAGAGTCAACAGAAACAGACCCAGACACAACAAAGATGCTGCAAGTAACAAAGACTTTAAAGCCACAAGAATAAATACATGGATGATTCAAGGATTGACAGGCAGTAAACCACTGAATGCTGACAATAATGAGACAGACAAGTTCTTTTACAAATATAAGTTACCAAAACGGACACAAGAACAAATAGAAAATTTGAATTTATAATTAAAAACCTTTCTACAAGGAAATGCCAAAAGCAGGTGGCTTTATGAGTGAATTCTACCAAATACACAGACGAAATAAAACCAGGGGCACCTGGGTGGCTCAGCTGGTTGAGCGTCTGACTCTTGTTTCAGCTCATGTCATGATCTCAGGGTCATGGAATCAAGCCCCGCTTCGGGCTCTTCACTCAGCTGGGAATGTGCTTGAGGGTTTGCTCTCCCTCTCCCCCCCACCACTGGGGCACTCTCTCTTTCTCTCTCAAAAAAGAAGAAAAAAGAAAGGAAGGAAAGAAAAAGAAAAGAAAAAAGAAAAGAAAAGAAAAAGAAAGAAAGAAAGAGAAAGAAAAGAAAAAAGAAAAGAAAAGAAAAGAAAAAAGAAAGAATACCATTTTTACAAAAACTTTCCCAGAAAATAGATGAGGAAACACCACCCAGCTAATTTAATGAGGCCAAATAAGAACATCACAGGATAAGATAAATTATAGAATATCCATGAACACAGATGTAAAACTCCCTAAGAAAATATTAACAAAACAAATCCAGCAATATATAAAAGGAGTAACAGATCATAACCAAGACAGGTTCGTCCCTGGAATCTAAGCTTTTTTTTTTTTTTTTTTTTTTTAAAGATTTTATTTATTTGACAGAGAGAGACACAGCGAGAGAGGGAACACAAGCTTGGAGAGTGAGAGAGGGAGAAGCAGGCCTCCCGCTGAGCAGGGAGCCCGATATGGGGCTCAAACCCAGGACCCCGGGATCATGACCTGAGCCGAAGGCAGACGCTTAACGACTGAGCCACCCAGGCGCCCCCCTGGAATCTAAGCTTAGCTAACATTTAAAAACCAGTCAATATAATTCACCATATTAACAGACTAAAGGAAGAAAAGATGATCATCTCAATTAGACGTAGAAACAGTACATGGCAAAATGTTCATATACACGCCCAGCAAAAAAGTAATAGAAGGGGACATTCTCAACTGGAAAAGGGCAGCCACAAAAAAAGTCTAAAGTTAAGGGGCAACTGGGTGGCTTAGTCGGTTAAGTGTCTGACTCTTGATCTCAGCTCAGGGTCTTGATCTCGGGGTAGTGAGCTCAAGCCCCATGGGGCAAAAGACCAGCACACTTTACCAAGGAAGCTATTGGAATAGCAGATAAACACAAGAGAAACTGCTCAGCATCACTGGTCGGTATGGAAATGCAGATTAGATCCATCCCTGATGAGATTCCATTAGGCTGGCTAAAATTAAGCACACTAAGAACCCAAGTGTGGGTAAGAAGGCAAAACAACCGAAACTCTGACACACTGCTGGTGAGAGTAGACAACAGCACAACTACTTGAGAAAAGAGTTAGAAGTTTGTCATAAAGTGAAACGTGTCATCTACGCCATGAACCAGCAAGTCAGTGCCTAAGTATTTATATTTACCCAAGAGAAACGAAACCCACGTCCTCGTAAAGGCACACAAGAATGCTCCCAGCAGCATTACTACAATAGCCAAACACTGCAAACAACCCCAAAATCCATCAACAGAAGAACAGACTGATTATAGTCTATTCATACAATGAATACTACTCAGCAATCAAATGCCTAACATCACTGATAAGACGCATCATGTGCTCAACCTCACAGACATCATGCTGAGAAAAAAAATGCCAGGAAGAAAATAGTAGGTCCATACAGTTCCATTTATATGAAGTTCTAGAAAAGGTGAGGTTGATCTTCGACAAAAAGAAATCAGAATGGTGGTTGCCCCTCAGGAGGGGAGCAGCAGGGAAACAGTGAGGACAGAATTCTCTGGGCTTGGGGGTGTAAAGCA